TAAAAAACAAATTTTTAGAAAGGATACACAAATATCAGGGTACAGAATGACCCAAACAATGTATGCACATGTGAATAAAAGATACACAAAGTGAGAAATAACACCAGTCATTTCACCATTTGCTATTCAGTAATACCCAAAGATTATTAATCATGCAAGATCCTAGACAAAAAAGTGGGGGGAGCTGTATCCCTCACTTTGAGATTTATAATACTTACTAGCATTTTCAAAGTTCTGAGACGTTTTGCCATTAAGACTACTTTCTGCTGGTGGAATGGTTCAAGTGGTAAAGTATCTGTCTAGCAAGTGTGATGCCCTGAGTTCAAACCCCAGCACTGCCAAAAAAAAAATTAGCAAAGACTGCATTCTGCAATCTAGCATTCCCCCAAATAATCTGATGACATTACCCTTTTTCAGCAAGACTGTTAATATCTTTAGGAAGTCATAATCTAGAGCAACTTTAAATGTAGAGATTCCAGCAGATGGAGTAAGAAAGTAACCACCTTCCCACCCCCAAGCAGTGCCTTATATGGGCTTTCAATTTCAGCCACCTAAAAGCAAGAAGGAAAGAAAAGTGGTTGATTACCAACTCCTATACTGTCTCAAAGTTCAAGCTTCCAATTACCTGTACTTCCTGCTCTACCAGTCTCTTATACTAAAGAGAAGGGCTGCTCTATGTAGGAATGAGCATGGTTACTACCAAAAAAAAAAAAAGGAAGAAAAAAAGAAACCCTAATTTTAAAACAATATTACCTTAAATGCTTATGTTTACATATTTAATATGCATTAAATAAAATACTGAAAGCTTTGTAGTAGAGCAGCAGTTCTCACAGTGTGTTCTACAAAGACCCTTTTCAGGGCATCCATGAGGTCAGAATCATTTTCTCAATTAATATTAAGACAGTATTTGCCTTTTTCCCCATGCTGCCATTTGTGCTGATGGTGCAAAAGCAATGGTGAATAAATATGCTGGCTTCTTAATACAAATAAAGGAATGATACCAAATGCAATAATAATCATTGCATCTGCAATTGTATGCACTCACAATACAAATCAATGTTAGACTTTTTGTGTTTTTTGGGCGAGATGGAAGTTTGAACTCAGGACTTCATGCTTGCACAGCAGGTGCCCTACCACTAGAGCCACACCTCAACCACCTTTACTTCAGAATGTCTTGGTGAAGCAATAAAAATTCTTTAACCCTCAACTCTGGAGCTTTTGTTTTATCTTTCGGTACTCAGTATGACAAAGTGAAAGGTATGTGTAAAGTATTTTTGCTGCATGCTGAAGGAAAACAGTTGTATGTAGGAACTTGTGCAGCTGAATCCTAAGCAGAAATCACCACTTCAGAATAACAAATTAAGCCTGGCGCAGTGGCTCATACCTATAATCCCAGCTACTTGGGAGGGGAGATCAGGAGGATCATGGTTTGAGGCCAGCCTGGGCAAAATTTTGAGAGATTACATCTCAACCAATAGCTGGGCATCGTGGTCCATATCTGTTATTCCGGCAACACAGGAAGCATAAATAGGAGGATCCTAGGCCAGCCCAGATAAAAATGGGAGACTCTATCCCTAAAATAAGTAAAGCAAAAAGGGCTGGGGGTGAGGCTCAAGTGGTAGAACATCTGCCTATCAAGTTCAAGATTCTGAGTTCAACCACCAATACCACCAAAAAAAAAAAAAAAGATAACAAATGATGGTATAGTGGTGCATGCCTACAATCCAAGCACTCAGGAGGATGAGGATGGAGACTCAAGAGTTAGAAGCCAGCCTGGACTCCATAGCAAGACCCTGCATCAAAACAGCAACCAAAAAGAAATGACAAACCATAGTTATTCACACTTGGGTATGTAGCAGATATTTTCTCAAAAATGAGAAGCTATCATTTCAAGGAAAACAATTGTTACTAATGATAAAGTTTCACAAAAAAGTTAGAATTCTGGAAAACATTTCTGCTAGTATTAGCTTGATGGCTTCCAATAAATACTTAAGGACTTTATTAGTGAGATCACTGGTGACATTAACAATAATGGCTGGGTGTGGTGGTGAACATCTGTAATCCCAAGTACTCTGGAGATGGAGGCAGAAGGATTGAGAGTTCATCTAGCCCTAGGAAAGTTAACAAGAGCCAATTCCTCCCAAAACAAAATATAAACAATAGAGCTAGAGACACAGCTCAAGTGGTAGAGCACTTGTCTAGCACATTCAACCCCCAGTATCACAAAAAAAGGTAATCTTTTGGTAATATAACAATGAAATTGAGTATCTGTATAACTTAGTACAGAAATATTTTGCAAATGACCAGTTTATGATACTCAAAATCATCTGTGGGTAAAAGATCCACTTAAGGTAAGACAGGGCTGGTGGCATGGCTCAAGTTATAGAGTGCATGCGTAGCAAGCACAAGGCCCTGAGTTCAAACCCCAGTACTTCCAAAAGAAAAGAAAAGGGCTGGAGGAGTGGCTCAAGTGGTAAAGTACCTGTCTAGCCATTGTGAAGCCTGAGTTCAAACCCCACTACTGCCAAAAAAAAAAAAAAAAAACACCAAATAAACAAAAAAACCTTTCAAATCATACATTACAAGTAAAGACTTGTTAAGTTCTGCTCTGATATCAAAGAAGAATTTCCAAGCCAGGAGTGGTGGTATATGACTATAATCCCAGCTACTCAGGAGGCACAGAGGATCTCCAGTTTGAGGCCAGCTTGGGCAAAATTAACAAAACAAAACAAAAAGGCTAGGGGCATAGATCAAGTGACAGAGCACTTTCTTAGCATGCAGGAGACCCTGGGTTCAATTACCATTATGGAGGGGGAAAAAAAAAAAAAGCAAAGAATTTCTACAATTATCTGACAAAGTTATTAAAATACTCCTCCCTTCCAACTACAAATCTACATGAGACTGGCTCTTCTTTAGAACTTCAACAACATATGGTAACAATCTGATGAAGCACATAATGAAAATCCAATTGTCTTCTATTAAGCCAGATGTTAAAGATTCCTGCAAAAATGTAAACAGCTCTACTCTTACTCTTTTTTTTTTTTTTTTTTACAATGCTGGGGATAAACCCAGAGCCTCACAAATACTAGGCAAACCCTCTACCACTGAGCTACATCCCCAGCCCAGGTCTTGGAAAAGTCATTTTTCATGAAAAAATGTTCTTTATACTAACAAGTTAGTAACTGGGTTATTACTGTTAGCCTTACTAAATGATTAAGTAGTTTGATTTTTTTTTTCAGTTTCTTTTTTTTTTTTTTAAATAACACTTTTTTTGAGATAGGACTTCACTACACAGCCCAGCCTGGCCTTGAACTCATGATCCTCCCGCCTCCCAGTATTGGACCACTCCAGCCCTCAGTTTTAACTCTAATGTGGTAAATCTCAAAGATATATAATCCACATAAACAATAGGTCTTTGGGAGCATCTTGATTTTATAAGTGCAAAGAAGACGGGAATGGTGTTTCAGGGATATAATCCCAGCAACTGGGAAGCAGAGACAGGAGTTCAAGACCAGCCTGTACATAATGACCTGGTCTCAAAAAAGAAAAAAAAAGCAGGGGCCAGGTGCAGTGGCTCATACCTATAATTCTAGCTACTTAGGAGGTAAAGATAAAAAAAACTCATGATTTGAGACCAGCACAGGCAAAAAAATTAAAAATTAGGAAGACCCCATCTCAACAACAACAAAAAAAACCCTCAGGTGTGGCAATCAGCACCTGTGAGTCCAGCTATGAGGGAGGCCACAGGTTAGGAGGTAGGAGGATCTCAACTGAGGCTGGCCCCAGACTAAAAGGGCTTATGTGTAGCTTAAGTGATAGGGCACTTGCCTGGACTCAAATACCAGTACTGGAAAAAAAAGTGCAAAGAAGCTCTACAATCAAAAAATTTGAGAAATGCAGTAATACAGAATAATACAAATGGCTTCCAATACATATGAAGGTATATAGAAACTATTTCTAAATAGAAAGCTATACTTTTATCTATGTCTTCCTATATTTCAAAACAACACAATGGAAGTTGGACACCATGCTACTTAAAGGAACTGAAGGCCCATCCATCTGTTCACTGGCTTCTGCTTACAAACTCCCAAAAGCAGAACCAGATTTATCTCATTCTCCACTATCTCACCCATGACAAACAATCTTCATGCAAAAAAATGGAGAGGATAATTCTGAACTCAAAATATGTACATACAATATGAATGCATCTTCATACCTACATTGTTTAAATATTATTAAACATGTCAATTTGTATTTTTTTTTATCTTTACTCTGAATTCAAAGGAAAGTACTGTCTTTTACTTTTTTTTTTTTTTTTGGTTATACCAGGGCTTGAACTCAGAGACTCAAACTTGCTAAGCAGGTACTCTACCACTTGTGCCACACCTGCAGTCCATTTTGCTTTGGTAATTTTGGAGATGGGGGTCTCAAAAATTGCCTGGGCTGGCTTCAAAATGCAATCCTCCCGATCTCAGCCTCCCAAGTAGCTAAGATTACAGCTTTTATGAACCATCGACCTGCTGGAGGTGTGGCCCAAATGGTAGAGTGCTTGCCTACCAAGTACGAACACTGAGTTCAAACCCTAGTACCATCAAAAAAAAAAAAAAAATCCAGAAAAGCAAAACAAAACCAAAAAACCCTATAGACCCATAGACAGAGAGAAACTGAATGAGGTACAAATTAATTTTGTTTCTGAAAACATTTCTTCTCATCTTCTAAACTGATAGCAAGGTCCACAAGGTTCTACTTAATAAAATATAACACATTAAGATATATTTTAATCATAAGAGAAGGAAGATGAACCAGTAAAGGTAAAATGTTGATGAAGAAGCAACAGGAAAAGAAAGAGTAGAAAGAAACAAAGCAAGTGAAAGGCAAATGAGATTTTACAGGTAATTCATTTTAAAAACTTCTGAAGTTCCAAAGTGACTTTTAGAATTTACTTGCCCAAATAAACATAGTCCATAAGAAAGTTACTCATAAAAATAATGTCTAGGTACCTGGTATTTCTTAAGCTTTCTCTTCAGCTGGAGAACTGTAATATGCTGTGGTCCCTCTTCCAGATTTTCAATGCCTTGGATCCCTCGGAATGAAGTGAGGACAGCCTTCCTGACCTTTTGGGTCATGTTAAACCACTCCTGCAGTTTGTGCTGCTGCTTTTGGTTTAGTCTGACAGAATCTTTTAAATCCACGAGGAAGGTAAAGGCCTCCTCTACACAATTTTGGTAGCCCTGACACTCCTCTTGTAGCTGAGCTACTTGCTCCTCAAGAGAATGAATCCTGTTTTTACCAGGAGCGCCCTCTTGATGGATCTGGCTAGTTCGGCTGATACTTGCCTGCTGGCTTTGCAAAGCTTGTCGCAGCAACTTAATTTCAAATTCCATTTCATCCATTCGGTCTGATTCTGGGCTAAAGTTTAAAGTGGGTTTGTTTCTAATGTTCCGTGCTCTGTTGGCATATTTGAGAGAATTTAAGGACTCATCAAAGTCCGAGGAAGATGGGCTAACACAGGTGATCATGACAGTCTTGGCCCTGCCTCCCAGGGAATCTTTCAGAAGCCGAGTAATTTTAGCATCCCTGTATGGGATATGTGAACTCTTCCTGCGTGGGTGTCCAAGAGCACTTATTACATTTCCCAAAGCCAGCAAGCCACTGTTGATTTGAATGGATTCTTTGAACCGTTCACTGGTATTCCCGGTTTTGGTCACTCTCTCTGATCCAGACAAATCTACAAAATGGAACTTGGAGACAATTTGCCGATGTGAATACCATAATTCATCTTCAGCTGCTTCTGTATTTTTCTCAATTTGACAAATGCTGATTGTAAAAATTGCATGTGATCTACTGGAGTGTTCATTCATCTGGGTGGTACCTGTATGTCTGGCCGCATTCCCCACCTCCAGAAGACTCATCACCTCATCCACAGTCTCCACATGGCATTCCTTGGCCCCAACAATCACTTAAAATAGCAACAGCAAGTTTTAAAACAAAGTTTTCATAAAAATCTAGCACAGTTAATTTAACCACATAACAGTTATCATTTTCTAAACAGCCCAGTCAAGATAGCTCCTTTTAAAAAAATAGCATTTCAAATAACAGTAACATCTGCAACATCATTAAATGATTTCAGAAAATCTCCCAAAGGAACCATTTTAATAGACACTACACATTTTGATGTTTAAACTCTAAAAGATCTAATATATTTTTTTAAACCTAGGTTTTTTTTTTTTTGTCAAACATCACACTTGATTCTTTAAAATGACTGACAAAAAAATCTTGAGCTAGGAGTATAGCTAGGGGTGTAATACATGAGGCCTTGGGTTAAATCCCGACACCCAAAAGAAAACCCCAAAACAAAAAAGTACATACACACATATACAATGCAAACAAACAAACAAACCTTTGTTTCAATATTCTGTTTTGTCTTACTTAGGTAGTTCAATATAGTTTCTCTCTTCTGGATAGACTGGTGGTTTGAGTTTCTTGTATCTTATGGAATGTAATTATTGAATCTTATATCAAAAATGACAAAAATAATATATGCAAGTTGTAAAACATTAAAGAATACTGAAGTATACACTATACTACTATTCCTAATAAATGTGATGATTAATTAAAAGAGATTAAAGATATTACTCAAAATAATCAGAAGTAATTAAAAGAAAAAAATTAGTTTCTTTTCAATTTTGTTAATATTCAATCCATCCTTATCTTAAGGGTGTTTTTGTATTATGGACTCATAATCAATGATGAATGAAATACAAATACAAATAAAGTTGATAATTCATTTAAAAAATAGGTATGTCCTACGTAGTATCAGATTGCAAGGTAAACAGATAGCAATTCAAAAAAAGCTTCTATTTTTTTTAACAACAGTGTAAGAACCAAATGCAACTTAAGCTTACTACCTGCATTAATTGTTTATATCCAAAAATACTTCAAAAAGGAATAGGTACATTTGAGATTTGAATCAGAAGTAAAGCTCCTGATCCTCACTCGAAGTACAGTGCCATGTTTCCTCTTCAATCAGATCCTGTTGTGTCACTGTTTCTTTAAAAAATAATCATTTCACTTATATTATTTCTATCATGACACTTTTGAAGTAACTAGTTCATTTAAAGTTCTAAACCAGTTGAGGTGGTTCATGCCTGTAATCCCAGGTACTTGGGAGGCAGAGTTGGGAAGACTGAACTTTGAGGCCAGCCTTCTGGTCAAAAAAAAATTGAGAACCTATCTCAAAGAACAAGCCAGGCGTGATAATGTACACATGTAATCTGAGCTGTGCTGGAGGAATAGGTAGGAGGATAGTGGTCCAACGGTAGCTGGACAAGAAGCTTGAGACCCTATCTGAAAATAACTACAGCTAAAAGGGATGGAGGCATGGCTCAAGTGGTAAGAGCTTGTCTAGCAAGCATTATTCCCTGAGTTCAAACCCCAGTCCTGCTAGGTGTCAGTGGCTCATGCCTGTAATCCTACCTACTTAGGAGGCTGGGATGAGGAGGCTCGAGGTTTCAGGTCAGCCTGGGCATCTGTGAGACCACATCTTCAAAATAACCAGAGCAAAATGGACTAGAGGTGTGGCTCAAGTGGCAGAGCACCAGTTTTGCAAGCATGAAGCCCTGAATTCGAAACCCAGTCAGACCAAAAACAAACAAACAAAAATCTGCCAAAATAAATAAATAAATAAGGTTCTGAAGTACCTGTACTACAAAAAGTCAGTGTTAAAATATCAAGGTTTATATAATATGGCAATGAAAACGCAAATCATCATAAGGTTTTCATGAAATTTTTCTGTTGGACTATAACTTAGCACCATGGTTTTAAAACCCACTTGCATATCACCTGGTAGCTTTATAACCTATGTCCAGATCCTATCTCAGGTCAATTACATCAGAATCTCTGAGAGGCAGAGATGAGAAATCATTTTTTTAAGTTATCCTAGGTAATGCAAATCATGTAGCAGCCAAGGTGGACAAATACTGCTTCAGAGAGGTGCTAAAGAAATTTGTCAAACAAACACATTCTGGTTGTGAGACATTACATAAGATACATGGCAGCTGTAATTTGCTTTTGTTTGTTTTTTGTTTCTTGGTGGTGGTACTAGGGTTTAAACTCACGGCACTTGCTAGGCAGGGGCTCTACCATTTGAGCCCCATCACCAGCTCTTTTTTCTTTTTTTTGCCTCATTTTTGCCTGAGTTGGCCTCAAAGTGAGATCCTTCCAAGTTCTGGCCCCTGAATAGCAGACCCACGGGGGTGACTCGTAACACCTGGCCCCAGCTATGAAATATTTTGATCATCACATTTATTAGGAATAGTACTATAGTGTATACTTCCATGTTCTTTAATGTTTTACAACTTGCATATATTATTTTTGTCATTTTTGATGTAAGATAGAAACATTCAATAATTACATTCCATAAGATACAAGAAACTCAAACCACCAGTCTATCCAGAAGAGATAAACTATACTGAACTACCTAAGTAAGACAATAGACTTTCTAAAATATAAAACAAAAACTACTTTGTTCAAACATCTGGATTGCCACAACTGCCAACACAGGGCTATAAGAAGGCAAGATTTACTGTCCCCTGTAAGTTGCTATTTGAATGATGACACTCATTTTACTGTCCTCAGTGCTACAAATTCCCACAAGGAGTCAACTCTTCTGGCAGGATCTCCAGGAAAGTTTTACTAAATGTGTTTTCTAAGAGAAGAGGACACCAAGAACAGTTATTGCAATGTCATTAGTAAGAAAACCAGAAAACAGTCTTAATATTCCAACAAAGGAATACTTACTAAATAAATTATTATACAACATTGACGAGACAAATTACTATAGGACATTAGTTATAACTATGAAAAAATAGGGCTGGCAGACTGGTTCAAATGGTAAGAATGCCTGCTTAGCAAGTGTGAATTCAAACCCCAGTGCCACCAAAGAAAAGTTAAACATGAAAATACCTAGAGGGCCAGGCAATGGTGAAGCACATCTGCCTATGATTTCAGTTACTTGGGAGGCTATAAGGAGGATCATAGTCTGAAGCCAGCCCCTGGCTAAAACACAAGACCCTATCAGAAAAATAATTAGAAAGCAAAAAAGGCATGGGGATGTGGCTCAATTGGTAGGGTGCCTGCCTAGCAAGTACAAGGCACTGAGGACAAAACCTACTACCAGCCCCACCAAAAACAAAACAAAAAAACTTAGTGACATGAAAGTGCTCACAAAGTAGAAAATAAAAATGCAAAATTAAATTTGAGCTTGCAAGTACATATTTTTTTAAATTATATGTACACAGAAAAACAAATTTGGAAGGAAATACAAAGAGAAGTTGTGGACTGGCAGTAGTGGTAAAGCACTACTTGCCTACCATGTATAAAGCCGTAGGATCAATCCCTATCGGCACAAAAAAAAAAAAAAAAGTTGCATGCTGGGCACTGGTGGCTCATGCCTGTAATCCTGAGACTCAGGAGGCAGAGATAAGGAAGATCGAGGTTCGAAGCCAGCCTGGTCAAATAGTTCCAGAGACCCTATCTCAAAAGCACCCATCACAAAAAAGGGGCTGGTGGAGTGGCACAAGGCATAGACCCTGAGCTCAAGCCCCAGTACCGCTAAAAAAAGGTTGCCATTTGTAGGTTCTGAGGTCAAAGATTAACTTTAACTTCCTAACCCGTAGTTCTCTATGTTTTCAATACGTTCTACAGTAAAAATACTAGCTTTTAAATCAGAAATTGCCAGACATGGTGGTGCACATCTATAATCCCAGCTACCCTAGAGGCAGAGACAGGATGGAGGTTTGAGGTCAGCCCAGACAAGTGCTGGAGATCCTATCTCAAAAACAAGCTGAGCATGGTGGGGCACACCCGTGGGCCCAGCTACTCAGGAAGTGAAAGTGGAAGATCAAGGTCCTAGGACAGCCCAGGGAAAGTTAGCATAAGACGCTATCTAAAACACAAACTAAAACCAAAAGAGTTGGGGGAATGGCTCAAGTGGTAGGCCACCTGCCTAGCAAGAGCAAGGCCCTAAATTCAATCCTCCATACCTCACAAACACACAAAAATTGTCATTCCTTAAAGTACTTGCATTTTCACCTTCCCTTTGCAACCCTCTCCCATTTCCAAACAATGGGTGTTAATTAATGAGGTTAACAGGTGCAAGCAAAGAAAGTTAGACCTCAGAGAAGCCTAACAAAGGATGGTAAATATCAATATGGACAAACAAAAACAAAAACACTAAACTTCTTTAACCAAAAAAAAAAAAGGAAGAAATAGGTGTTTGGGGAACAAAAATCAAAGAGGGAAAAAGGAGAATTTCAGATCAATTGGATGAACAGCTGAAGGAAAACCATCCTTAATTTCAGAGTATCTCTGAGAGTAAAAAACATACAAAAACAAACTTAGCCCATATCACAGTTTCAATAGAGGTCAGTCCAGAGGGGGCTGACCTCAATTATAGGAAATCAGTACCTTCAATTACAAATTAGTAAATTCACCTTACCAATCAGTCTGAAGAACTACATTTTCACCTGAGTGATTTAAATAAGACTGATAATCAATAAGCTATTTAAAATATTGGTTTTGCCAAAGTAAAAAATGAAAATAAGAGGTTGGGGTGTAGCTGGATAGTAGAGTGCTTACCTAGCATGCACAAGGCCCTGAGTTCAATTTCCAATGCCACAAAAATAAATAAATAAAAAGCAAAAACAGATTAATTTTGCTTATATATCTGTTTTTAAGAACTCCTTGGATTATATCCAGAAGCCGAATTAAGTGTATCTGTTTGCTAATGAAGGCAATCAATTAAGTAGGCTACTTTACCTGTGTTTCCTTTTCCATCTTCTCGGATGTGAAGATCTTTCATGGATGTCTCCAACTCAAGAAGATCTCTTAGGTCTTCCTTGTATACTTCTATATAGGATACTTTTATATTAAAGTCAATACTAGGATTTTCAGTGATGCTTTGAAATATTTCTTGGATAGCTCGAGGAATGATACCCTTTTGACCCTCTGCAACTGAAGCTAAAAATTAGGACAGGAAAGCACATCTGGAACTTGAAATGTAAGAAAAACCACACAATCCAAAACATACTTAATAAATGTATTTTCTTATATTTTTCTGCTATAAAAAATGTTAAGCCCTAAAACTCATGGACAAAATAAGCCAAGTGCCAGTGACTCATACCTGTAATCCTAGCTACTTGGGAGGCTGAGACGGAGAGGAACACTGTTCCAGGCCAGCCTAGACAAAAAGTTCTCAAGACCCCTTCTCAACCATTAAAAAGCTGGGTGTGGTGGCATGCACTTGTCATCCCAGCTGTGGTGGAAAGCATAAAATAGGCTCACAGTCCAGGCTGGCCTGAACAAAAAGCAAGACCCTATCTTCAAAACAACCAAAGCAAAAAAAAATGGCTGGAGGTGTGACTCAAGCAGTAGAGCCCCTGCCTAGCAATCACAAGGCCCTGAGTTCAAACCTTAGTATTGCCAAATACATTTATAGAATTAATACAATCTTCACTATTTCAAAAAATTTTTATCACCCTAAACAGAACTCTGCATCCATTAAGCATTAACTACCTCCAACCTCTAATATACTTCTTTCTCTATACTTTTTTTTTTTCTGTACTGGGGTTTGAACTTGGGGCCTCATGTTTGCTGGGCAGGTGCTCTATCACTTAAGCCACTACACCAGCCCTCTCTGACTATTCTAGATATTTCATGCAAGTAGGCTCATATAATATTTGCCTTTCTGTGTCTGGCTTCTCCTATTATATATCAGAACTTCTTTTCTTTTTTTCTTTACAGTAGTACTGAAGTCCTAAGTTCAAATCCCAGTATACCAAAGGAAAAAAAAGTTTTTAAAAAAAGCTTACAAGGTAAATTTTAAAATGAAGGAATAAATTGAGACAAGGTTAAGTAAGTTTTTATAAACCAGGTTAGAAAATCTGCACAGTATTTTTAGCATTGTTCCACAGAAAATACATTCCAAGCAATAAAAGATTCATTAGCAAATGAACCTTAAAAACAACATGCTTCGAAAAAAAAGATTATTGAAATTCAGATTTTTGGCAACAATCATCCTAAAATCTGAACCTCTATTAACTTGAATGGACTGCCATCCTGTGGCAAGAAAAGGAAGCTGTTTGTTTTGAAGTTTGTTTTTCCAAAACAAGGGAAAATTCCTTTTTAAGAGTTTCCAGACTGGGTCTAGTGGCACTGTAAATCAAGCATTTGAGAAGCTAAGGCCAAAGAACCTTGAGCCCAGAGGCCAGTCTGGGTTTCACAGAGAGTTTGAGCTCAGCCTGGATTACCACTTCAACAAATAACAAGGCACAACAATTTAAAATATTTAAAAATTTGAATTTCAAATATTTATAATACAGATTAAATATGTATTTTGGTAACCTAAATATCACATTCCACATATGCAATGTTGGTCTTACATTCCTGAAACAGACTATTTCAGAGAGTAAACTTGTGAAGTTTAATATTCAACAGTCATTACTTTGCTATTTTATGCTACTTAAAGGATATACAAGAGTCTGTACTCACAGTCTCTAATATAAATCAATATAACTAAGTCACAAACCTCTGAATATTTTATAGCTCCTATTGGTATAAAGCATATACTACATCTTTAAGATCATAAGCCATCTGCCAATTTTTAAAAAAAGCTACAATTCTCAAGAAAAAATGCAACTTTTTACTAGAAATATTGAATTCTGCAGAATGGTCATTTTTAAAAATTGGCATATGGGCAAGGGAACATAGCTCAAGTGGTAGAGCACCTGCATAGCAAGCATGAGACGCCTGGGTTCAAACTTTGGTACCGTCAAAAATACATTTAAAAAATAAAACAAAATAAAATAAAAAGTGGAACATATTGGGCTCTTCAGGCCTCTCCTTTTAATCTTTGGAATGAGGACTTCCTCATACTATACAGCTACTCTCCAAACTCTTCCCAATCTATGCATGTAATAAGACATTATTATATGAAAGTCACACATTTCTGAAAGTCACATATTCTATATTTGAGAAGTATAAAAACAGAAAAAATTGAGAGCTACTATATAAAGAGAAAATACTAAAATTTAGACAATGATGCATATATACAATATTCAAAAGTTTATTTTTAAATCAAAATGAGACAACAGTTTTCCAGGTGCTCTGAGAGTCATAGGTAGGATTCTCTACAAGCAGATATGAAATGGTGTGTGAGTGTAGATGTTTATTAGGGTCAAAGCCTTTGAAAGGAAGGAAGAGGAAGCAGAATTGTGCAGAAGTCACTCTGGCAAGCAGGTTCATCAAAGATGGTTCATGTGTTGTTTCCTCAGAAAATAACACATTGGAAATGCTTTGGAGACTGTGTTCCATCTTTTTCAGCTTTCCATAAATAATGTTCATAAAAAAGTTTCTTGGTTAAAAACTCTTCATGCTATGTGAAAATGAACCATGACTATAAATGATTCTTTACTTTATTCCAGCTCCTGAAACTTCCGCAGAACTTTTTTTTTTTTTTTGGTAAAAACCAATTTTAGCAAGAATCCTACACAGTGTAACAAGAATCCTCCAACCTCAATATCTCATCAATTACTCATCGTCCACCATCTCCCAGATGATGTCTGATCACCCTGGCCTGTCTTCTACAAGAATTCTATTAGTGCAGTTTGGTTAGAATCCTCCTAACTCTGATGTTAGTAATTTTCTATCCACCAGCCTCACCTTGTCCTCTGGCTATAAATTCCTACTTGTCCATGGAATTGACCCCAATCTGTCTCCCTCACTGCAAAGTCTCATTGCAGTGGTACCTACACCTATCAAAATAGTCTTGAATAAAGACTTCCTTACTATGAAAGAAAAAATTTGTTTCTGGCATAAAAATATAAATACAGGAAAAAAGTCTCAACAGAGGACTTGGCTTTCAATCCTCCACTCCATCACCAACCACCTAATTGAACAATTTCTTCATCTCTCCATGACTGGAGCGCTCATTTATCAATGAAGAAAAATGATTGCCAAGGTTCCCACCAGCTCTACTAGAAATCCCATGACTCTACCTTTTCCAAACTATTAATTACAATTAGAAGAAATTATATTCTAAAATATTAAGTATTCAAATTAGAAATCTGAGAACTGGATATGGTGGCACACTCCTGTAATCTAAGCACTTGGGAGGCTGAGGCAGGAAGATCAAGAGTTCATGGACAGCCTGGGCTACACAGTAATATCCTGTTTGGGCAGAGAAGGTTAGAGAAAGAAGCATGGCTATAAAATGAAAACTTGAACCTACATAATAAATTTCTCCTACTCCCCCCTAAATCCTGGCTATTTAAGGATGTAAAATCTGATCATGTCAACTCATTTATCCCTATTTTAAATTCTGTTCAAAATGACAAGGGCAGAACACTGAACATTGTCTTAAATTTTTGTTTGTGTGTATATGGTACTAAGGATTAAACCCAGAGCATCATGCTTGCTGGGAAAGTACTCTACCACTTGAGCCATGTCACCAGTTCTTTTGGGGTTTTTTTGCTTTATTTTTGAGATAGGGTCTCCATAAATATGTCAGGCTGGCCTAGAACTCCTGATATTCCTGTCTCCATCTCTGGAGTAGCTGGGATCACATGCAACCACTATACATGGCACTGTTTTAAACTTCTTTCCAAGAAAAAATAAAATCATAAATTAGATTATTCAATGAAATCTCAATATTTAAAAATAAATCCTTCAAAAATAATGATTGTATGCCCACATTTTATTATCCTATTCATTCCTTCATTATTCAGTCTACATACTAAATATCTACTGTATTGGTTATTGTCTTATTTTAGTTTCTTTCTAGTATCTCAAATAAAACTCAGTATGAGACTCTTACCAATATGGCCTCCTCCAATGGTGTATGTCTTCCCAGATCCAGTCTGTCCATAGGCAAAAACAGTTGCGTTATAGCCCTCAATGAGTGATAACACTAAGGGCTTTATACACGTATTATAAACTTCATCTTGAGTGGAATTTTTACCAAAAACAAAATCAAAAGTAAAAACTCTATCTCTCCCAATGATAATTTGCTGGGTGTTTGGAATAACTCTCACACAAACTTGATGATTATGAAGAACTTCTTTACAAAGCAGAGGTCTAATTCTTACGGCGACTTTTACTGGTATTTCTTCCATGGCAGCTTAAATTTTATTAAATAGATTCTCTACTTAAATGTTCAGTATACAGTGTGAAAACATCCATTTTATGTAAGATCTGGACTCCTGTGTATCAAAATAAAAGACAAATTTTAATTACTGACTCCTAGTAAAAGAAAAGCAAAGTCATTTGGAGCAGGTTTTTCTTTTGTTTTGTTTTCTTCCCCAGAAAGAAAACAAAGAGGGCTGGGGATGTGGTTTAAACAGTAGTGCCTACTTTGCAAGCAAAAAGCCTTGAGTTCAAACCCCAAGCCTCAGACCCCAGTCCCACCAAAAAAAAAAAAAAAAAGTTACAAAAGAATAAATCTGTTTTGTAAAGTGGGTCAATAGTTTACTTATAAAGTGACATGATGTCTGTATTTGCTTCAAAACAGTTGAGACATGGAGGGCTGTGAATTAGTAAATTACAAAACCAAATGATAACCACATGGAATTCTGCTGTGTCTTTATTTCTACAGTGGTAATATTGACCAGTCCATTATTCCAAATACTGACTAATTAAAGAGTTGCAAAGTTCAGGCAAAGCTGGCTGAGTGGCTCAAGTGGTAAGAATGCCTATCTAGCAAGCAGGAGACCCTGAACTCCTGTGCCACCAAAAAAAAAAACCTCAGGCAAACATTTGTATTAGATCTTAGAGCTATTTATTTAAAAAACAGCATCTCCTCTTTACCACAAATGTTAGATGTAAATCTTATGAAAAGTTTCTATGTCAATATAGATTTAAAAATAAGTAAATATAAAAATACTAAACTTTTTATTTAAAATAACTAAAATTAACAAAAACTACTTTTTCCAGTCATAAATATTATGTTGCACTTATTTCTGAAACTCTCTGGTGAAATTAATACACTAAAAATTAAACTGGAGGGCTGGCAGAGTGGCTCAAGACGTTAAGAGCGCCTGCCTAGCAAGCATAACACCCTGAGTTCAAACCCCAGTGCTGCCAAAAAAAAAAAAAAATTAAACTGGAAACTACATTTACAATGAACAACCTGAAAATGAGGAAAACAATTCCATTTATATTAGCATCAAAAAGAATAAAACAGTTGGAGGCACGGCTCAAGTAGTAGAGCTCCTGTCTAGGAAGGCCCCGAGTTCAAGCCCCATTGAAAAAAAAAAGATGAAAATACCTAAAAAAACAAAATTAACAAAAGGTTTATAAAACTTACACTTTGAAAACTACAAAATATTGTTAAAAGAAAGTAAAATAAGTTCTAAAACAATGAAAAATATCTTATGTTCATGGATTGGAAACGCTGACCTAGGATTCGGCAATTGCTTCTGAGATACACCAACAAAAGCAAAAGCATAAAATAGACCAACTGGACTTCACCAATATTTAAAACTTTGTGCCTTAAAGGACACCATCAAGGAAAGAGAAAAGACAACTCACTGGATGAAAGAAAATATCTGTAAGTCATGTCGCTAGGCAGGTGCTCTCACCTCTGAGCCACTCCACCAGCAGTAAGTCATGTCTCTAATAATCTAATTATATATTCTAATATCTAGAATAATCTATTATATATTCTAATATCTAGAATATATAAAGAATTTTTGCAATACAATAACTTTTTAAAAAGCACTCTGAATCTAGGTGGTTCCATGGAGAAAGAAAAAAGAAATAAAAAATAAAAAGCAATCTGAAATGGGCAAAAGACCTGAAAAGGCAATTCTCTGGAGAAAAAGGTCAATAAACACATGAGCTGGGCGACATTGGCTCATGTTTTAATGCTAGCTGCTCAGGAGGCAGAGATCAGGAGGACTGCAGTTTGAAGCCAGCTCAAATAATTGGAGACCCTATCTCAAAAATACCCAACATATTAAAAAGGGCTGATGGAGTGGCTCAAATGGTAGAGTACCTGCCTAGCAAGCATGAGGCCCTGAGTTCAAACCCCAGTACAGTCGGAAAAAACCAAAAGTACATGAAAAGATATTCCAACATCATTAGCTATCAGCGAAATATAATCGAAACCACAATAAGATAATTCCACACCCACCAGCATGGCTAGTGATCAAAAAGGTAGATTAAAGAAGTGTTGGTAAGAGCTAGAGAAAATTGGAGCCCTCATCTACTACTAGTAGAAATGTACAATGCCACAGTTACTTTATAAAAACAGACTGGTGGTTCCTAAAAAAGCTAAACATAGAACTATCATCCGATCCAGCAATTCTACTCAAAGAAAACATGTTGCATAAAAACATACATCAATTTTTAGTCTTGGTAGGATAAAGCTTACACTATATAAAGCTTTTTAAAAGCTAGCAAACATGTGATCTATGTGCACATTTGAAAAGTAATCAGTTTGGGGTGAGGCTAGACTCACAGGGCAGAAAGTAATATTTTATGAACTACTTGCTATGGAAATGTTTATGACATATTTAATATTCACTTAGAAAAACTCTGAGCAGACTACCTTGCACTTATAATTTGGAGTGCAGAGTCAGCCTGGAGATTACAACAACAAAAGCCATTTACATCACTCTATTAGAATACCATTGAGAGTAAAAATATATGGGGTTCCTTAGGATGCAAAATCCCAAAACAGTCAACAAACTACCTTTAATGAGCAAAACAGAGATATACCTAGCCTTGGCAGTTTTAATCATTTTAATCAAATTCAGCACTGAAAAACTAAATGCTCATGTGTATGGTGAATCCTTTTTTCGATCATAAAGGACTACAATTATTTGGTACTGGAAACTTCCAAACTGCAGGGATGCTATCTTCTTTCTTCCAAATTGCTCTGAACACCTACAATTGAAATTTTCATCATACAGATCAATTTGCTTTTTAATGACATAGCACTAAAGCAAAAGTAAAGGTCTGTGTTAAGCTAACCCTAACTGCTTTTAAAGAAATTACTAATAAAAAATGTCAAGTGTAATTAAGATATTTTCACTTTCTTGGTTATGATGGTGGGAATATAGCTATCGAAGCTCACCTATCTGTAATCATTCAGAAACACTAATGACCCATACAAAATCAAATTCTTTTTAATCTGTCTATAACAATTATACTACTTCAGATTAACTATAGTTACTAGGAACAAGTATTGTCACCAACAGATGTTAACAACAAAGGTAAACTCTGATTGCCTGGCAATATTTCTGCATACTCAATAGGTTTTTGAAATGTGACCAAATGCGAGGCAACTGGTCCTTGATACCAGGTCATTGATCAGGAGGAATGGATGTCTCCAAGTACCTATGCCATCCTGTGCTCTTGGTTTCTTAGAAAGTAGTTGTCTAAAACTTGGGGTTTGCTAATTAATATTATCATAAGAAACTTCCTAGCAGAGAGTGAACTGCACAAGGATCTCACTACAGGCCACAAATGCATAAAGACGGTAGCTGAGTGAAGAGAGGAAAACGAGATATGTTTTAAAAACTGGAAAGGACGGCGTTGAGAAGTGTTTCAAAGGCAGAATGCGGAAGCCCTTCCTCTTTCTCCATGGTCGCCTGGCCCGGAGGACGCGGCTCTCGGGCTTCGCCGACGTTCGAACGCAAGCCTGGGTGGGAAGGGGCCCTGTCCCTCAGTCCCCTCACGGCCGACAGTGGGAGTACAAACAAGAGACACGCACGGGATGCGATTCCGCGACGTTCCCGGGATCCACCTCTACCTCAGTGGAGACCCAACTTGCCCCTGGAAGCGACGCTCGGCCTCGGGCCTACCCCAGACCTCTCGGGTGCCCTGCTCAGCCTCCCCGGCCCGCGAGCCCCCCCCCGCGGCGTCCGCAACTCGGGGCAGCGCCGCTCCTTCCAACGGCGGGCACAAGCGGGATGAAGGGCCGACGCAAGGGCACCGCGGGCAGAGCCGTGTCCAGCTTCCTCGTCTCATCTGGCCGGCCGGCCGGCCGCCGAGCACTAACCAGTTCGGAAAGCCCAGGCCGGCGCAGAACTCCTCGACTTCGCTCAGCTACGCCGCCGCCTCCGCCGCCCACGCCTTTTGTTGTCACAGGTTCTCACGGCAACCGGCGCCGCCCGACGCCCGTCGCACCTCCTCCGAGTCGCAGCGTCTCGGCCCCGCCCCTTGTAGGCCCCGCCCACGAGCCCGCCCTGCAGTGGAGTTGCCGGGCGCCCTTGCCCAGCTAGCCGCCAACCTCTGAGTGTGCCTGCAAAGGCTCGCTGTATCCCACCAGCCACCTGTTCGCCTGGGCTGAGCGCCAAATATCTATCCACAGGCTCCCAAAATGAAACATTGCGTTTAAATATCTTAGCTGCCAATTCAGGTTGTTGGGGATGGGGGGAGAGTTTCTTGAGGTAAAATTTGCAAAATATAAAATAAGCCACTTTTTAAAGTTTTTTTTTTTTTTCCAGTGCTGTTTACTATTTAGGAGCGAAAGGAAACGCTCCCTAAGCCCTCTGAAGGTTCGTAAGAATGAACAGACAAAAAGAAAAGATAAACTTACTAACATGCAAAAGGAGAAAATTCGCAGCGGAGGGAGGCTACGATTACCTACTAACACAGCATGATTCAGAAACATTTACCCCTTTTCCACAGGGGAGAGGAACAATGAGAATATGATGATTTTAAGGGGAACTCAATGGACTTGGAAAAAAAAATATCTGGAACCAAAAAAAATGGCCTGGGACAAGTCCGTTGAGGTCACAGAAAAGACAATGATTCTTTTTGAAATATTGAATGGAACCAAAACAAAAGACATTGGAAAAAATACGGAAAACTCTGGAAGATACAGGCATAGGTAATATTTTTCTGAATAGGATTCTAATTGCCCAGGAAATAAAAGCAAGAATTGACAAATGGGACTACATCAAATTAAAACGTTTCTGCACATCAAAAACAGTTACAAGAATCAAGAGACAACCCAAAGTGGAGGAAATCTTCAACAGTTATTCAACAGATAAGGGATTAAATCCAGAATACATAGAGCTCAAGAAGTTAAACAGCATGGGCTGAGGGAGTGGACCAAGTGGTAGAGCACCTGCCTAGCAATCTGAGTTCAAACCCCAGTACCACCAAAAAAAAAAAAAAAGCCAAACAGAAGAATAATACAATTAATAGAGCAAGCGGGCGCCTGTGGCTCACGCCTGTAATCCTAGCTGCTCAGGACGCAGAGATCAGGAGGATCGAGTTTTGAAGCCAGCCTGGGCAAATAGTTCACGAGACCCTATCTTAAAAATACCTAATACAAAAAAGGCTGGTGGAGTGGCTCAAGGTATAGGCCCTGAGTTCAAGCCTCCGTTCTGCAAAATAAATAAAAAAGCAAATGAGTAGACAGTTTTCAAAAAAAAAATTACAAGTGGCTAATATATGAAGCAATGTTCAACATCCTTAGCCAGAAAGGCAATGCAAATCAAAACTGTACTAAGATTCCATCTCACTTCTATCAGGCTGGCAATCAAGAAAACAAATGTTGGCGAGGATGGACAGGTAGGAGGGAGAAAAGTGTATATTCCTCCAACATACACTGTTGGTGGGAATGTAAACTAGTGCAACCACTATGGAAATTAATATAGAGGTTCCTCAAAAAACTAAAAATGGAACTACCTTACGACCCAGCCATACCACTCTTGAGCATATATCTGAAGGAGTGTAAATCAATATTGATTTACAAGATATATGCCTGCATACCTTTGTTTATTGCAGCTCTCTTCACAATAGCTAAACTGTGGAATCAGCTGAGGTAACCAACAATGATGAATGGATAAAGACTATATGGAATATACACACATCATGAAATACTCAGCCATAAAGAAAAACAAAATTATGCCATTTGCAGGAAAACACGTGGAACTGAAGAGCATCATGTTGAGGGAGATAAGCCAAGATCAAAAGGTCAAATATCAAACATTCTTATTTGTGGAACCTAGACCAAAAATGATGATGATGATACTACTACTACTACTAATAATAATGGGACATGAATGTCTATGGGTGACTGTCTTGTGGGGGGGATTAAATGGAGAGGGGAAGGAAAGGATACTGAAGAGTGAAGAGGATGGAAGTACACTGCAATATATACACAAGAAGACAGCATAATGGAACCCACCAAACACTTTGAAAGAGGGAGGAGGAGGGAATGGAAATGTAATGCAGGGGTGAATTTACTCAAGGTACACTGTATGCATGTGTGGAAGTATATAACAATGGAATCCCCTCATTAATTGTATGATAAATCAGGAAATTTTAAATATTTTTTAAAAAATAAAATAGAAGGCTTTGGTGTGTGATAAAAGTCCATCCAAGTGTGTTGACAGACTTCAGTCTTTTGTCCTACAATATGACTTGAATTAAAGGAAAATTCAGGGAAGAAAATATAGGTAGTTATTTTCTTCCTTGGCAGTCCTAACTTTAAGCAAACAAGGAGATAAAGTAAAGCCTCTTCCAGTGTCTGCTGCTCTCTAAATTCCTTTAATACAAAATAATCAGCATGCCAGGGGGCCATATTTTGGGGTGACAGTTCCCGGACTCAAACATTCACAATGTTGCACAACCATTATCTTTGTGTTTAGTTCCAAAACAGTTTTATCACCTCCAAAAGAAAATTCTTCCAGATCCCATCTCCCTGCCAACTACTAATCTACTTTCTTTATCATGGATGTACCTATTCTGGGCATCTCATATTCATGGAATCTATAGTATAAGACATTTTGGTCTTGCTTTCTTTTTCCCCATGTACTGAGGATTGAAACAGAGCCTCACACATGCTAGGCAAGTGCCCTACCACTTGAACCATGCCCTTAGCCCTTTCATGTGTAGTTTGTTTTTGAGATAGGGTGTCTCACTAACTTTGCCCTGGTTGACCTCAAACTCCAGGATCCCTCTGCCTCTGCCTCTTGAGTAGCTTGGATTACAGTTGAGAACTACCATGTCAGGCTTGTATCTGGCTTCTTTTGGTTAACAATCATTCAAGATTCACTCATAGCATCCATCAGCACTTTTTATTCCATTTTTAAGGCTGAATAATATTCCATCACATAGATGTACTCCATTTTGTTTATCCATTCATTAGTTGATGGAAACATGAGTTATTTCCATTTTTTGGCCAGTACAAATAATGCTCCTATAAACATTTATATACAAGTATTTCTTTGAATGTCTGTTTTCAGTTCTTTTAGGTTTAGACCTGGAAGTAGAATTGCTAGGTCATGTGATAATTTTTTCTTTTGTTTGTTTGTTTTTGTTGGTGCCAGAGATGGAACCCAGGTCTCATGCATGCTAAACAAATGCTCCACCACTGAGATATATTCCCCCAACCCATTTGGTAATTCTAATTCTTTTCTAATTTAGTTTTAAATGGCTATTACATCTCATTTTTAGTAGCACAAACCAAGCATCTTTTTTTTTTTTTTGGCAGTACTGGGAGTTGAACTTAAGTCTCACTCTAAGAGTATCTGGCAGGCACTCTACCACTTAAGTCATGCCCCCAGTCCTTTTTTGCTTTGGTTATTTTTGGAATAGGGTCCCGAGTTCATGCCCTCACCAGCCTGCATCTTGATCCTTCTATTTATGCTTCCCATGTAGCTGGGATGACAGGCATGTACCACCACACCCAGCTTTTGGTTGAGATGGGGTCTTACTTACTTTTTGCCCAGGCTGGCCTCAAACCTCAATCCTCCCAGTAGCTGGGATTAAAGACAGGAGCCACCATGCCTGATTCACTATATTGTATTTTTACAACTCATTAAAACACAAACACAGCCAGGCATGGTGGCACATGCATGTAATCCTAACACTTGGGAAGCTAAGGCAGTAGAATCATAAGTTCAAGGCCATAAATAAAACCTTCTCTCCAAAAAAACAAGAAAACATGTTGTACATAGTGACTATGAATTGACAGGAGAGACCACTGGCCTGCTGACAAAGTCTCAATAAATAATAGCAATAATTTAGGTTTGAGAATATCCAGAAGACCATGCAGAAGTTCTCAAGAGACCATAGGCTGTCCTCCATAGTGGAGAAGTCCTATAATCCTAGCACTCAGGAAGCTGAGGCAGAGGATCGTGACATCGAGGCTAGCCTGTGCTACATAGCAAGACCCTGTTTTAAAAATGAAAACAAAAAAGCCTGCAGAGAAAGAATCAGCAAATGCTAACAGCATTGTAACGAAACATTTTCCCCTGCCTCAAAATTGGTATCATGAGTCCAGAGATAAAAAGAAGAGGTTAAGTTCCCCACATTGTAAGTGAATGCCAGCCATTGCCATCCCTTCCTCCCTAGGATTTATAGCAGAACAAAGCTAATTCTATTATAGCTCTAATCATATTTCCTCTAAATATCATTATCAGAGGGACACGAGGTGATAAGGGAAACAGACAAGGTGTCTTGGGTGCATAGCAATTATAACGGGTACTTAAACTGCTTTTGTGTGGGGCCCATGAATTAACTAAAAACAAAAGAAAAGCTTGCCCACCTTGCCTCCATTTTCATGTCTTTGCCCTGAGCTATTCACCTTGCATCTATCTTGGAATCCAGGAAGGACAGAACTGTATCAAATAACAGTTTTAGCCAGGCACTAGTGGCTCACGCCTGTAATCCTAACTCAAGAGGCAGAGATCAGGAGGATGGAGTTCAAAGCCAACCCAGACAAATAGTTCGCAAGACCCTATCTCAAAAAAAAAAAAAATTACAATAAAGGGCTGGCAGACTGGCTCAAGGTGTAGGCCCTGGTTTCAAACCCCAGTACTGAAAAAAATAAATATCTTTACAAGGAGGGATGGAGAAAACTGCCCCCCCCCGAAAGGAACAGCAGAGCCTCCTTCAGACGCACCATCCACCAGGCATCGATGACTTGCTTATCCTAACCAGATTGCTCTCCTCAAGTGATGACAGAGATAACTTCTCCAGAGCACCCCTCAAAACCAAGACTAAAATAATGGTCCACAGGAATATGGCTGTGACCGAGACTAATTAATAATTATGCATTCCTTTCTCTCCTTGCCCCTAATCCTT